ATAGAATAGAGTTTTGTCTCTTGCAGGGCTACGGCAAAGCAATTGGCGCGTTACGGGTGGTATACCTAGTACTGTGGTTAAAACCAACCCTTGTTGTCAGATCTAGGTGGACTGTTTGACGGGAATGCTGATTGTAAATTATGGCTTCAATATGGCCGTTGATCACGTTGTGTTTCCCTCGTCATGCCAGAGCTAGCGCACTTCATCAGAGTAGGGTTCCTTGAAAGGTCATTTCCATGTCAAGGAGCAAAGAGTTAGCCGGCAAAGAAATCAATTCATCAAGAAAAAGCAACAACCTAGTGAGTCCTATCCTACAAGAGAGCGTAAGGTCTCTGTTCCCCAGGCCTTAGAGAAAACAGAAACAGATTCGACGAAAAACTCCAAACTTTAAAAATAACCCCTTCCTCAACATCATCCACCCTTCGTCATCCTTCAAACACCGACAGTAGAGACCGATAAGCAGTCACGAGCCGACTAAGACAAAAGCCCAAGACCAGTCTCTACTGATTGAGCAGTGGATAGGTAGGTAGCTTGATCCGCTCAGAGAATGTCGACGCAGTTGAGGGCGGTGATGCCAACAACGACGATGCCCTTGTAGACAGTCAGCAATCTGTAGAATGGAAGACGAGAAAGAAGGGTAGTTAGGGGTCAACTCACGTTGTTGCTGCTGGTAACCTCGCAGCACTTGGTCTCCGAGACACTGCAGCTCGAGCTAAGGACACTAATGAGGCCGCAAAGTGAGCCGAGGATGGGGATTCCAAGAATGCCGTTGCAGCAGACGGCTTGCTGGTTGCTGGACGTGCAGGTTGGGGTGGTACTGCCACCGCCGCCGCCGCCGGTGCGAGCAACGATGCCCTCGGCGGCAGGGAGGGCCAGGACGTTGACGGGCATGGTGAGGGCCGCGATGACGGTGAGGGCGATGTTGAAGAACTGCATTTTGAATGTGGAGGTGGGATTGAGGTTTTTGGGGGGGGAATTGGAGGCTGTTGCTTTGGACTTGAGAGTTGAGAGTGTGCGACTGCTGAGTTGGGCTTGTGGATGATGATGATGATGATGATGATGATGATGATGATGAGAGAAGAGATTCGTAAGATGATGGAGATGAAGGGAGTCTTTATAGGTCTTTGGATGGGTCTTGATGATGGATGGTTTGGTCTGTTGACGTTGACGGCGTCATTCTGCTTTCTCGGATGAGCCCTGGTCCTTCATCCAGCACCCGCCCGGTCATGGTCCGACTTCCTTGTTTTCTGACAACTTTTTTGGTGACATGGCTATCGTGAGAATGCCGGCGTGGTGTTGATAGACATTGCCATTTCCTTTCTTGGAATTAAGAACAGACCCTAGTGTGGTAGTATGTTGTGGTGAAACCAATGATGTGGAAATCAAACCCGAGACTTTGCAGAGAGTTGGCAACATTTCAAGAATGGATGGACACGACTGGGTGGGTGACCTTAGCTGAACCATGCCTTCCATCGTCCCTTGAGCTTCAAGGCTTCGTTTCAACTGTACTGTTTGTCTCCACAGCCTGGACATTGATTTCACCGTGACTCCGGGTAGATGCGTTACCCATCAACGAAGGGGCCTAGGTATCCCGGCATCGCAACATGACGAGTGTGGCTTCGCATATAAAAAAGCTTAGGGGAGCTATTTCAAGCTGCTTCTTGCGGAATAGACACGATGTTGCATGTTTGACTGAGATGCAATGTCCGTATAAGCCATTCGGTGGCATGGCGGAATCCTCATCTCGACCATAGGTAGGTAGGTAACATTAGCCCTGCCGGCATGGACGAGTGATGTGGTCATCACAGTCCTACGGTAGTGTGGAATAAAGCCTTACAGGCCGATGCCCCGTGCTACCCATCTTCATAAGGTAGCTTCGGATTTTATTGAAGGCTGACATGTAATTATGACGGGACAAAGTGTGGAAGTTTCCTGGTCTGGCTCACAGGTTCTTTCTGACGGCGCGACGGGACCAAGCTCTCGTGCTATCAATGCAGCTGTTAACAGGGCTAGCAGAGTGATGAACTTTTACATACATAAGCTCGGGTGTCACTAACAGTGCGGTCTTCCCGCGGGCCATAGAATTAGGTATGCGCCCGCATCTCGGGATGGGTAACATGGTGAGGTGGTAGTACCAACATGATCTGATGGCTGTTCCCGTCTGTTGAGTGGGCTGGCTCAAGCCCCGAGAAGTGCAGCAGCCACCTGGTGTTGCTGCATCCAATGAGATGGTGCTTCCAGGTTGCATGCATGAGCAACCCACCTCAGTTTTCATCCAAGCGACAAAAAAACAAAAAAGAAAAACAAAAAAAAACTACCCGACAGCGCTCGACTGGACGTCCAATCGCGTAGTTGCCCAACACACCCCGAGCGGGCAGTGAGAGTTCGGGGAGCCTCGTCTTTCATCCCATGGGTCGTTCCAGGCACAGACAGAATTAGGTGCAAGTGGCTTCCATACCTATAGGTACTCTCTCCGAGACCTGAGTCTCCCGCCCCCCTTAGGTTCCACCTACCTGACTTTCCATGTTGATCGAGGTCTGGGCGAGAAACAAGATCAACGAGATTTTCGATCCTGTGTAAGGAGGCAGGATCTGAGACATGCCCTAGTCATCTAGTTATTCTCCTGCCATTTGATGCACCACAGACAGTAATGCACACTGTTAAGATGCAGGGTCCAATAAATAAAAGTTATTCGGAACACTGGCTGACGTCCTGTAGCTTTTGTACCCCCCTTATTTATTTGAGAATCTGGGAGTTATCAACTCGACTTGAATTGAACCAAAGGCGGCATGTCATTATTTACGATACCTTACTGTAGAGACCAACCTCACGATGCTGTTGCACCATGGAACTTTCTGAACCTGGAGTGCAATTCTCTACGAGTGATGTCATTAGTGGCAGGACGCCTTCTATCATGGAAAACCTGCTGTTCAAGCTTCCAGGTTGACGCCGTCATCAATTTTACAATTTCGCACTACCACCTCACCCGGCCGGCACCACATAGCCGTTGAGCAGCCAACTGACAAGTTCGATATTAGTCAACAACCAGAAACTCCCGTCTTTGTGACAGGTGTGGTTTCACAACATTTCATGTTCTGGAGCGCCGACAATGGAACCAGACAGACTGCTGAGATGACGGTGGCTTCGTGTAACGCTCGATGACGGGAGTTTGACCCCACTTCTCAACACTTGCGAAGAGCAGTGTATTGTGGTTACAATGCAGCTCATGGCCGTAGAAAGACTGAGAGAATCTTTGTACGCCGATACACTACATGCACGAATGGTGGTCTGATCGTCATGCAACGAGGCCATTGGATGACATTGAGTGGTGATGTAGACAGGCGGCAGGAATCCAACATGGCACCTAGTTCAAGGTCAGCTAACTCAAGACTGTTTATTCAAAAACCGAAACTTTGCGTTTTCTATCATGGGTCATTACAACATCGGGAGACAATAAGTTGTCATCCTATGCCTTGGCTGGCCAATACATCTGCAGGGAGCCAGCCGGCACCGAATAGGTATGCAACCCCCTGACTCCTGATCCAATAGCTGTCCGTGACATTCCTGAGCCCAAAGGATGCCCGCCTAATTATTTGTCACCTTATTTACCTCAGCCTTTCTTTTAAATATCGGACCTTGACGATCCTTCCTCTTTTCAGGTTCTACCGTTCCTTAGCTCTGCTGATGCTATGGGAATTCATACATTGAGGGCTGACAAAAAAAGAGTTTGGAACCCGACGAACCTCGACGTGATTCAGTCCATACTGTCCCTTCCTTTCTGAAAGGGCCTCCCAGCGGAAGAAGCCGTTGTCACATCTCCGACCCGTGCATCATTGCAGACAAGCTGCTGGATAAGCCTTTTCCCCTGACCATCCTTACCCGCACTTCGTGATTGACCCTCCAATGATCTCAGTCTGTCACAAATCCTACCATCACACCGACTACATGATCTGATCCTATCGTGTTACCTACCTCTCAACCATCCTCAACGCCACTGGTCTTCAACCACCAAGCTGCTCCCCCTGAGCGGCTCACAGCGTTGTCGAACTACTGCATAATAAGCGAAGGAACTTTGGCATCAGAGTTGGAAAAGGAGGTGTCACAAACGCACCGAAACCGATGTTTATCCGTCAGCGAATATGCCAACCTCCAGTCGGTGTAGGACAGAGGACGCCATGTCCAAGCTTCCGGCTTAGACCCTGGCCGTGTCCCATGCTTAGGTAGGTACGACATGTTCACCAAGACGAAAGACAGGGCGTAAAAGCACTTTGGAAGTTGGTTCAATCTCTGGTCAAATCTCTGCAGGACCTTGATATCGCGCTCTTTTTGACCCTAGAGATAGGAACAAAGATTTGCCACCTTGGACATCTGGGGCGGATTCTCCTCATGCTCGACCTCGCCGTCTCTCTGCATGGAGCCTGCACCGTCGAACAAGAATTGCCCTTCAGATCAGATGCCCTCAGCCCCTGACCATCAAAGCCTGTCTTCATGTCACTTTCAGGGAGTGCAGGATTCCCAGATCTCTGGGCATTCGCATTGACCCTCGAGATTCCCGATCCACCTTCGAAGGGTCAACGTATCGCTTGGAGGGCATCTAGCCACCCTCCAAAGTCTTTCAACTGAGCTTTTTTCATTCCGCGACGATATTCGAGATCTTTGAAACTGGAAAACATCTCACATCCCTTTCAAGTTCTGTCGGGACCCCACAGCCAAGTGGCTGTGGGTCCGGTCTGGGCGTTGCAGACTTTGCAGCCCAGGGAATTCGGGAATTCGAGCCTTCGGCTCAATTCCCTCTTTTCCCCCCGATCGCTCGAATCGATAGTTTTGCCCAGTTGCTGCTCGCGCCCAACAAGTTCCGACCGTTCCCGGTGGAGAAGCACGACTCAGGATAGTAGAAGCATTTTCACCACAACCCTTGCCCTTCATCCACCTCCAGGGCACACCATATAGGTATTTCAAGCAGAGTTTCAACATCCGCATCTCAACAGATATCATCTCTCGGTTCTATAGTGTAGCGGTTATCACTCCGGATTCTGACTTGATCAGAACATTCCGGCAACCCCGGTTCGAGTCCGGGTAGGACCTCACAGCTGAATCTTTTGACCTTTTACGTTCTTTTTGCTGTTTTCCGGGTGCCTTCAAGGCTTGTATTTGGGGAGTCTGTGGACATTTGATTGTCACAAGTCACAAAGTCGTTGGAGAACTCAAAGCTCACTTTTTTCCATGTTATCTCTGGCCCAAGCTGCATGTCAACCTCATCCGCTCAACCGCAGATCGCTTTTCGAGATCAGTTCGAAAAGAGCTTCCACTGTCTCTTCAAAAGAACCTCGAACCCCTGAGTCGCTCTTTCTAAAGACTCCACCGCACAAAACTACTCAACCACTCCTTGTCGAGCCTCACGGCTATCCAGCACAACCTTGTTTAAAGCCTCAACTCCACACCAAACGGGCTCACTTATTCGCTACGCGTCAGTTCATAGGATTTCTTCCAGCACAAAACTAACATCAACAACCTGGCAACTCGCCCGGCTAGCTCAATCGGTAGAGCGTGAGACTCTTAAGGAACTCTCCGTACAATCTCAAGGTTGTGGGTTCGACCCCCACGTCGGGCTCAATTCCCGAAGGCGATGTGCTGTAATCTTTTTGTCTCTGAACATTTCCTTCGTTAAGTTTTGTTTCTTTTTTTCTCGGGTATGAGTATATTCATTCCTTTTCATGTCGGCGGATCGTTTTCCGTGATTGGCTTCTTGGCGACTTTCTGGGGTTTCACTTTCAAACAAAATGTATGTACCATTGATGGGTTACTAAACTTGTTTAGGTAGTTTTTGGAATTTTGTATCAATAGCAGCTCATCTCATAGGCTCGTTCGGACTGTACCTGCAAGCAACCCCCCTTGGAGGTTATCTATCAATCCTTCGTCGCCAGCGACGCTACTGATTCGTGGTTGGAACAAGCATGCATGCGGCTGAGAGATCCCCGCAGGAACGGTACCCATGAGACAACCCTAAGCGCTGGTGCCATGGTGGTGAATCACTTGAGGCTCAGAGCCTCGAGTGTAGGTACTTTATGGTATTTTTCAACCAAAGCTCAGCAAGATACCGAATCAACTGTCTCAAGGAACACCTGAAGAAAGATGAGCTCAGACTCAAACGCAACAACAGAGACGGACCCATGCCTTCCAAGGCAATTTAGTGATCCAGAAGTTGCTGGAATAGGGGTAAGTTTCTTATCGGTGCAGGCTAAGCAGTGATGATGTAGCTAATGGGCAGAGAGCAGGTGCTGGTTTCATTCGGAATATCCATCCTCTTCAACATCTTCATCATTGTTCTCGCTTATATTGGACGAGCGCTACGGCAAGATAGGTACAATGCTCTCGATCATGCCTTTCTCACTGACCTTTACCGTCTTGTGGGAAAGAAATGGGAAAGTAGCAACCGAGTGCTGCACAGTACCCAACACGTCCTGGCGTTCGAGGCATTCTTCCAGTCGATCGCAGACCAACAGCTGTTTACAGGCTTGGCCCTCGTTGTGGCGATCTACGCTATTCGCGCCGGGGTTTCTGGTCTAGACGCTGAGACCTCGGGGTACTCGTACATCATGGCTGTCAACTTGGCTCTACTGTCGTGCCTCGCACACCTGTCCGCTATGACAGTGCTGCGCACTCGCCTTGGAAAACTGAAAAGACTGCGAGATGTTCGGGTGGTTATGATCGTGGTTACCTTTGCGCTGCTCATGCCGCCGTTCGTGGCCACCCAGATGATGTCCAGCCTTGAGACGATGAGGTGTGAGATGACATACTTCGATTCAGACCCGCACTTGCTTGTGTGGAATGATGACTACCGCGGGCAACAGACACTGTTCCTCGCCACCCTGGCCATCATCGGGTTTCTTAGCTGTGGGTATTTGCGAAGACTTCTCGAACTGTACTTCCCGATCTTTAGGGCATCCCCTGAGGCATGGACCGCTGAAATGTTGGAGGCCATCTGTAAATGGCCGAGTCAACAAGAACGGCAGAATTTGAATGCCGGCGCGGAGTCCGAACAGGACATGCTTCTTTCTAAACTCAACAAAACCTCACAGGGTTCGAAGTTCCAAAGAATCTTCCAACGAATTACTCGGATCTTTCGGATATTGGCGGTAGTCTTTGCTGAGCTGACGAGATCATTTCTCGCCGAAATTATCTGGCTCATCTTTTACACTACATTCGGGATCACGCAGATCATATACCTCTTTCTTTGGGAGACTGGAGAGCCGGAGGCCGTAGGCGGACCCGTCAGTTTCAAATGGGGCTTCGGGCAGATTCTGCCTTTGGTGTTACTGGGTTTGCCTTTTCTTTCTGCGACGGAGTTGTACTCAAGTAAGTCTTTACCCGATATCTACACCTGACCACTGAGCTGGAAGTCACTGTTCCCCTAATTTACTCAACAGATATCAAGCACCTCAAAGAAAACCAACAGACGCCATCAACACCTGGAAGCAATAACTTGTCCACTACCACACCAAAAACCTCCCAAGCCAGTCAACAAGCAGTGGCCATTCAACCTCCGCTGCAAAACACGCACGAATCGCTGTACGATGCATGCCTTAAAAGCCACCGAACAACAACCCTCTGCGGCACTTTGGCAGTAGTGGTCCTCTACATTGTCACCGTTCTCACCGCAGCTGTCGCTTTCACTGGAATCCCGTGGATGCGCCTGGAATATAATGAATTCTGGGGCGATGAGTCAGGCAATGAGTCAGGCGTCACGCTCCCCGGATATGTCACGACGTTATTCTTGTTCATCGGTTCCCTGCTGTTGCTGGTGTGTTCGTTATACTGGTCACTTTCTTGGATCTGGCGGGGACGGTACCGCAGGCCTTATTACAAGGTCGATGAGGCTGCTCTCCAGTGAGATTGATTTGGAGGAAATTTGTCATCCCAGAGTTGGATTCTACAATGTTCACAAAGATGCACTCAACACACAGTGAAAGTCGGATAAATCTGAAACTTTCGGACTTGCCGCCATTCCCTTGGAGTTCATGCTCACCATTATAGCAAAGCTCCACCCACCAATTTCACACATATCTATTCCCTGTCTTATCACCATCACCCTAAGGGGAAGAAAAAGAGTCCAAAGCAGACATCAACACAAGTGCGAGTGAACAAAACCAATCCTACACAGATCGCATGCCTAGACAAAACTTCAATCATCACCTCAGCCCGCATGGCTCAGTGGTAGAGCGCATCACTAGTAATGATGAGGTCGTCAGTTCGATTCTGGCTGTGGGCATTTACTTTTGCGGATTCATCCTTATATATACAATATTCTTTTTTCTCACGTGGACCCTCTCCTTTCCCTCCTCCTTGCTCTTTTTGATCCTTCGAAATTCCAGTTTCCTCGCAAGAAGAACCCCCCTCAGGGCTCTTTTATGCCCCTTGTGCCCGGGCGCACATTCTTCCTTTTGTGTTCTAGAATATCCATCGTCCACTTGTGAGTTGTCACTTCGGTGTTCTGGAATGTGGGAATTGGGTTTCGCCAAGATTTCGTTAGTGCAGTTAGTGGATTCGTCCCCAGTCCTCCAGCTTCCAGTCGGAGCTAAGAAACATTGTTGCTTGGCGCTTTTTCTCGGAGCAAAACAACGAAACGTTGGTCGATAACCATCTCTAGCTGCTCCACATCTTTTTCGGCGGTTACCGTCAACCCGAACCTTGACTTCGCCTTGAATTTGGGTTTCCACACTGCTTTGCACAAAACGGCTCATACGATATACTGTTTCTGAATCTTTGTTCATCAGAGTGAGAGGACCTGTCACATCGGCTGAACACTCAAAATCACTCAGATTGGAAAATTCCAAGGGAAACGATTAGACAGAAGAAAGATGGCAGCACCACAGCAGATGACGCCCACGAAAGCGGCGCCAACTGCGTCTACACCAGCGCCAACGTCAGTGACAACGTCAGGCTCAACACCGACAGCAGAAGCGCCAACCACATCATCCCCAGCAACACCATCAGCAGCTTCAACAGCCGACGAAACAGGCATCATAACCACCACCCCCATCACAGACGAGGTCCTCCGCGCCGTCTACGCCTCCGACCAGGAGATGTACCCCGTAGGCCTGACCTACTCCCGCTTGCGTCAGTGGGTAGCCGCCTGCCCGGACCTATCCATCTGCTTCCAGAGCACCAAGATCAAGCAAGGCTTGTTGGGCGTGGTGATCGTCTTGCCTCTTTTAAGAAGTTACTGGGAGGACTTGCTCACCGGAAAGTTAAAAGAGCCGGATATCGACCCTGAGAAAATGTTCCCTAGGCCTGCATCATCATCAACACCGGTGCGGACACCTGGTATGGCCGCACGGGGCGGTGGGAAGACCCTTCATGTCATGCCACAAAAGCAAGAGGTCGGGCTGCATGTCTACCACATTGAGCGGTTGGCTGTGGAACCGCCCACCCCGAAGCAGAAGAGGTTTTCGGATATTGCCATGGAGGAGGTCACGAGGCGGTCGGAGGAACGGGGGGATTGGGTTGTTGTTGGTCACTCTGGTATGCCATTCCTTCCATTTTTGCCTCGTCCGGGAAGATGATAATGCTGACGGTTGAAAATAGCTCTTACAGCCACGGATGGTGGTAAAAGGACGTTTCAGCGGCTGGGATTCAAGAGCACCGGGTACAGGGAGCTCTTTGTCACGACAGCTAGGCGGAACAGCCAGGCGACGCTGTCAAGTAGTGACGGTCTTGCTGGGGAAACCCAAGAAAGAGAGCGACCAGAGGCTGAGGAGGAAGAAGAGCTGGAAATGATGTTCATCTACCCCGATGAAGACGGGGCCAGCAGGCGGAGCGTGTCGGAGATAATAGGCTACGGGAGGAAGGTTGTTTCCATGTCGGAGATGACGGTCAAACACCTTGTTAGCGATGCAATACCGGTCGCATAGATCTTTGGTCTTGATACCTAGGGTAAAAAGTATGCCGTTTTCTGCTCTTTTGTTTCGTATATATACACTTGGGGCTAAAGGAGTTTTGTATTTAAGCCAACGCCACTCTTATTAATGAAATAATATCCATCCGACGGGTACAGTGACCTTCGGTGGTGGAAAGAAAGCGCTTCG